CACAAAAATGCTCAAATCAAAGCTTAAAACAGTGAGAAAAAGGTTCACAGAACAGAGTGATGTCATGGTGTGTGCCCATCTTTTATATACATGTTTCTATACTCTGAGTGCTTTGTTAGCAGGATACAAGCTTAAATCTTCATTTGCATTTAATTTCTTCTTTTTATGTGGATGGATTACTCATTTACATACAAAACCAAAATTTGCAGCTTAATGCTTTATCGTAGTCATGTGTGTTGATAAGGCTACAGAAGATTTTTATGAATTCATTGATTGATTTTAGGCTTCTTAATCAATTAATTACTGTGGCTCTGGTGTGAAAACCCAGTTGCTGTCATGACTCTTCAGGAATGAACAAGCAGGCACAGCTGAAAGTGCAGCAAATGAAGAAGAATTAAATCTCCGGACCAGCATCTGGATATAAACGTGTAACAAATGCACCAGCTTCCGTTCTTTATTGTTAAATCAGCTGACAGGTGAAGCATCCTCAGCATGTCCAGCTGCACAGACTTCAGGAGGAGTCTGAAAATGAAACGTTTAAAGGAGCGGTTCAACATTTACTGAAAAACGTGATTCCTGTTAAGAAAGAGCCGTTCTAAGCTTTCATGTCTTTATGCTGCTTCATTCAGACGTGACGGCTGAAAGAGCTACGTGGTGACATTTTCTCTGATCCCGCCCCCACGCTGCACACTACCTACGCAGCAACAGCCTGTTAGCTTCCAGTTAAGAAAATTAAAGATCACTAATTCAGATGTTCGATATCTGGAATGAACTAAATGCTGAAGTGCTCCTTTAATAGGATTCAACCTGGTGTCGCAGTTTGCAGTGTAGCAGCGGGTGGAAGCTACACAACCGGCAGACGTTTAAAGCATTTGTGATTGGCTGAAAAATGACGCGTGTCAGAAAATCCAAATTACAGATTTAACATAAGATAAATAAGATGAGATGTGATTGCTGAAGCTTTGAGCTTCATTTTCTAGCTTAGTGGTACTTATCGGATTAGTTACTGATGACTTCATTGACTCGTTATTGGCCTTTTTGGGGTTCAAATTTAAACTCTTAAGCACCTGGTGTCTCTGTGGCCCAGAGTTACCATGGAGACCAGGTTAAGTAGCAGAGGACCGATTGACAGGAAACAGTAAAAAACAATAGGGAGGTGTCCATAAAGTCTCCACAGGAACAGACACACATACATCCACAAACACTTCATTTACCGAGACCTAAACAGGAAGTCAGCTTTGGCTTTCAAAATTAAAGCAAATCAATAAATAGAGCAATATAAACCCTTCAGAATAAAAGTAAAATAGTTGTGCCAGTAAGTGATTGTAAAAAGATAAAGAGTAGCAGTCTGCTTTGTTACTGCTCCATCCAAGAGGGAGCGCCTGAGCCCAGCGATGCCCGGGACGCTGGTCTGGACCCGGGTCTGGGCCTCAGTCCAGTCTTCCTCCTGCCCAGGCTGAGGACTTCCTCTAGGGGCTCGGCGGCCTCTCCGCTGGCCCGGCTAACGAACACTGAGGGAGGGTGCGTGGTGGCCATCTCGAACCTCAGCTCCGCCGCGTTCTTAGCGCGGGAGGAGGCGCCCTTCCTTTTAGTCCTGGGCTGTGGTGAGGGCAGAGGGAATGCCGGGACAGGCCTGTGTGAAGACGCGTCTGCTGTAGCAGCAGAGGCCGAAGAGCCCAGTTTGGCCAACGCCACCGGGATCTCCTCCAGAGACTCAGCAGAATCTGAGTGGTACTCGGCGGGAGGGGCGGCAGCCTGGACGGGGCCTGATGTGGGGGCCAGGGGGGGCAGTGTGGCCCTCAGGGGGAATGCTGGGAATGGAAGCCGCTGACCCAAGGACACAGTGGACACATTGCTGGGCTCTGCTAGAGAGAAAGAGACAGAGTCAGAAACAATTTACTTTCTTAGGAAAGAATAAGGAAATTATTAATGTCATCATTTTTTTTTTAGAACATTTAAGGACATATTTCAGGCTTTCTGCCAGACATCGATCAGGTCCTGCACTGACAAACTTGGAATGTGTTCATCTGAGGATCCACTTTCCACTGGTTTGCCCTTCAAACTGACAGACTCCGGAGCTCTTCTGCACATAGACTCTAGCAATTGTTTCATATTTGTAAAGGCTTCTGTGCAGGAGCAGCTCTGTGATCCAGGAACAGAAAAACACACATTCCCACGCTACCTGATATCAGTCGCTCAAATCAAACAGCTCAGAGTCATTTCATGTCCTGACTGAATGCCACTTGAGACTCTGATCCTAACCTGAAGGAAAACACCTGAATGTTTTCCTGATTGGAGAGTTAAGGCTGTGTGGATGGAAGAAGATCTCGGCTATTAACGATGGTCAGAATTGCCACCAATAGCTTGCCAATCGAGCTATATTTTTAGCATACGTGCCCATTCATCCCACCCAACCATTCTCTTTAATACATTCAATTAAAAGGATCACTCATTACGAGTCATTAGGAGTCTTGCTGCTCTTGGAATGAATGCATGTTTGGGAAGCAGCTACAATGATTCATCATCCAAAATAAGGAGAGAAAACAAACATAGGGTATTTCTGTCTGTTATTCGGATTTAATACAGCGAGCAACATTTTAGCTGTCCAGCAGATAGCATCTGTTTATGGCCATCTATTCATCTGGGAAATGAACTTCGGAGTGTGTATCCGAGTTTGTCTCTCTCTATCACCAGCAGCTGTTGTGTTTGTTGTGTTTCCACATGGAGAGAGGGTGGAGAGCTACCTCAGTGGGGGTACATTAACCCTCCCCAAACAATCTCACAAAGACCATTTTTCCAGGTTTTTCCAGCAAATGTGAGAAGTGAAATAACCAAAACAGCAGCACCACAAATCTACACCACGTGTTTGGACTTGCTCCAACATCACTACAGGTCTGAACAAGATGCTTGTGAACATCTATGAGAAGAGTGAAACCTTTGTTGGTGTGACTCTAAAATTAATAAATGACAGCTGGGATCCTGAGAACACGTACGTGTTTTGTTAAAGGAGTTCAAAGTTTAGACGCGAGCCACCTGAAGACTGTCTGCACTCGGTGACCCGAGGCAGGTCACACGTGCAGCTGAAACATCAGTGTGCACAGCTGCACGTGTGGAAGTAAGGGAGAAAAAAAACAGGTGGAAGGGTTCAGGTTTAGGTCAATCGGTGCTCCCACCTCAAATCTAAAAGTTTGTTTTGCTTTTTTAAGTTGTCGAGCTGCTCTTCCACCCTGACTTAAGGGGACAGGATCTGCTGTGTGAACACGGGACGGGCAGACGGACAGAAGCTTTAAATGTTCCTGTTTTTGAACAGTTTCAGAGGAAAATCTAATTAAATCAAGCAGCTTGGATACAACCAAACTCAAAATGTTGCAAACTCTGTCTTTCGAACAGTTTAGCTCTTTCATCCCAACAGCTTTTCAGTAACTTTCTTTTCTATTCTTTTTTTTAAGCCTTCACTTGTTTTCACTTTGTTTCTGTGTTTAATCAGCTGGTGCCAATAAGTTTGACCTCTCCAAACAAATTCTGTGAATGGATTTGTTTTTTAACCCTTTAAGACCTACCATAGAACCAAGTCTGCCAGAGCTTATATTATATTTTTACATGCTGTGGAGCCATTTTTGGGAGCATTTCAAGTTGATATACATCAATACAACCATTACAGCCTAGATTTTAATAATATGTATGCATTAAGTGCATAGTAATTACATAAATTGCAAAAAAGTGCAATAAACTACAAAAAAAATGAAAATTGTTTTTGTTTTTTAACATATATTTCTAGTTAGAGAAATTTAAGAGGCTTATCCCTCAAAACTGTAAATACAAAAAAGTTGCACAAAATAGTTTCCCACTACAGGACATTTATTTTGAGTGTCTTCATAGTTTTATTTTTGAAATACACCAATTTTTATATACTGCAGGAAAAACGAAAATAAATATTATAATGCAAATTTGCAAAAAAGCAGCATATGCATCAAAATAAACTATTTCCAGCAGTGCAATATGAGTCCTAAGCATCCCAGAAACCACAGAGAAAGTCATAAAGTCAAACATAACTTTTAAAAACACCAGTATAGGCTCATGAGGCCCTGATGGTAAAAAACTACATTTCCGCGAAAATGACGTCACTTCCAGTTTTGGGCAGGTAGTGGTGACATGCGAAAGTTCGTGCTGACGTCTATTCCAATGTAGGAAGTGTTACAAACAGCTGATCGGATCGGCAAAGCTGTTTCTGGAATATTATGTTTTTGTTGCTGCAAGTGCTTTTTATGCAGTTTTTGCAAAGTTATATGTGGAAGGAAACTGTGACCGAGGACAAGCTGATGGCATAAGATGTAAGTACAACTCCTCCGGTTTCATATGCAAAAAAAATTATTGCGCTAGCTTACGTGGTTGCAGAGCTACCGGGATTTTAAAATAGTTACGCAAAACAGAGCGTGCTGCTCTGACCGGTTTTAAAGGGTTAATGTCAGATTTCTGATTTTCTCTTATTTTAGTTTCCAAAAACAACATTAGGAAAATATTTATTTTTGCTGATTAATCGTGTGCTATGCTAACTGACTGAAACTGTCCTCTGCTGTAAGGTCAAATGAAGCTCCTTTATTTGTCCAAGGCTTTGTTTCATGACATTTGCGTCAGCCCCGTTTTCTAACATCGCAGCTTCTGCTGTCAGACGTTCACTTCTGTGTGTGAACGCACCACAGGACCGCAAGGTTAACACCAGTAAATTTCAAAGAGGAGGTCATTTAAGTGGAAAGCAGAGCAGACACTTGCTACAGAGCAGCGGAGCTTTGACAGCCTTTAGGTTCAGGTTAGAGAACACGGTGTGTTCAAAAGTGCCTTCATATGCACAGACAGGTGAGGCCATACCGGGAGGCGGGGCTGTGGCTGGGCAGCGCTCTCTGGTCACCTCTGCTGGGACTTTACGTACCTTCTTCTTCTTTTTCTTCTGCAGAAGAATAAAAACACAAAGCGGGTTTTTAAGTGCGGTCTCCCTCACTGCTGTTTGCTCATATTCACTTCAAATATACACAAATTTATCCAAAGTTTCTCCTGATCCGTCAGATCCACAGTCTGTGCAACATCACACTGCACCTGTTATCGGGTGTGTGGTTTGTGGGCTTTTACCTGTGTGTGTCGATGTGTGTGTGCCGCTATGGCTTTCATCTCTGAAGAGACAGTGGGCGGAGCTTCTTCCTCCATGACAGGACTGGACATAGTCCTCACTCTACCATTAGCCAGGAACCTACACACAAACACACACACAATGCATGATTCTCTGATTGCATACTACAGACTGTACTAGTGCATCTAGAAAAAAAAAGTACCTGGATACTGTGCAAATCGTAGGAAATATTCTAATAATTTGAGACACTGGATTTGATGAGCTATAAGCCATAATCATCAACAGCAAAAGGGCTTAAATATTTCACTTTACCTTTAATGACTATAGAATAGAAACACATACACAAAGTTCTGTGAACACTAGAGATCACCCCTTAATACAGAGACCTCCTCCTCCACCAGCACAGTGCTGGTGCCCGATCTAGAGCCAGTTCTTCAGATTTCCACTAGGGCTGCCACAATTACGTCGACTAGTCACGATTACGTCAACTATCAAAATCGTCGACGACTAATTTAATAGTCGACGCATCGTTTGAAGCTTTGTAAGATCAAAAAAAACGTTGAAGTAGTAGGATTTAAGAGTGTAATAACGGACTGAAACAGAAGATGGCAGCACTGCATGTACAAGGATGCCAGCTGCCGTTAAACCCCGAAGA